CATCAAAATCCAATGAGTGGTTGTTTAGATATCAGTGGAACAATCATGGAACAGCTGAAAATCAGCTAATTATCATGCAAATTAAGTAATTAATATGCATGGTTTTTACTAAAAACTAATCAAATCTGTGCATATGTTCAGAGCATCTATGTACCAAGTTTCATCAAAATCCAATGAGTGGTTCTTTAGATATCAGTGGAAGTCATAGAACAGCTAAAAATTAGCTAATTATCATGCAAATTAGGTAATTAACGAGCATGGATTTTTACCAAAACCTAATCAAATCTGCGCATTGGCCCAGAGCATCTATGCACCAAGTTTCATTAAAAACCGATGTATGGTTCTTGAGATAGCAGTGGAACAGTCGGACACATACACACACACACACACAGACACACTAACTGCAAAGACTCTCATTTTGTGCTTGGGAGTCAAAAATTATTTTTCTTTACGTACCTGGTGATGGGTCTGGAAAATTGTTAGAATTGTCTTCACAGAAAACTAAAATAAGACTAAAGTTCAACAATGCGATGATGGATTGCAAGAACTTCATCATGAACTTGAGATAGTTCCACACATCTCTTGCAGTTTTGAACTCTAAGATCTTGCCCAGACAGTCTAGAAACATAAAAAGAAACAAATATTTAGTAATTTTCTTCCAAAAATAATGCTACAAAAGAAGCAGTAAAAAAAAATGACGTACCTACATGTACAAAATGTTTAGTTGTCAAAGTGTGTATGTGTGTGATCACATACTGAATGTCAGTAACAACCATTCAGCTCAATGGCTTGAAGATATTAACATAAGCAAAAAAACGTATAGCAATAACTAGCCGTAATGGTGAATCAGGCAGGGGTGAATTGATCAGACAATTGTAACTTTAAAAAAAAAAACAGATAAAAATAAGTACAATTACAAAAACGTTGTCTGAAATTGAAAGGTCAGAACATAAAGTGCACTGCTTGCTGGCTTGACTTGGTTGGTTGGAACGGTAGACTGGAAGTGACCCTCTTGTCTTATGTACCTGTGCTTCAGTGACTACACCATAGAAATGTGGTGAGTTTCCTCTCCTAAAAAGTAACAACTCTCGCGGGACACAAGTTCACAATAACAATGGTCTGGTATCCAGTTCCTGTAGGCTGGCTCCAGTAACTTGACAGTTAAGGCATGTTAGTCACACTATGACAATGGTGCAACAATGAAACGGTACAAGCCTGGTAGCTACGTGCCAAAGTTAAATGAATGTTATCTGCGCAGTAAAAATGAAGCAACAATGAGACTATGCAAGTCTGGTAGCTAGGTCCTGCGGATGTGCCAAAGCTGGCTCCAGTAACTTGACAGTTAAAAGGATGTTATCTGCACAGTGACAATGAAACAACGACCAGTGTGTACAAGACAACCAAAGCTGTTCCAAAGCTGTCTCCTGTTTACTTGGGAGTTATCTGACAGGAAGTCTTTCAGATGGCACCATTTGGGTTTATAGTAAAATGCTATTATCATAAGAGGATTACTGATACAGATAAACTCCTGACACTCTTTTCTAAAGTGATAACAACAAACTAACTTAATTTATTGTCAATAACCAGTTTCCTTCAGACTTGCAGATAATATAAACTTTGCTCAGAAAACCATTTTGTAGCATTTAATAGTGTTAGAACTTTTACAGTTTGTAACTAACTGCAAATCACTCCTGTCTTCAAAATAAACAAACTTCCAGCATCTATTCCATGACACTAGCAGCAGTCACAGATAAAAAGTATGTTGTAAACTTTCATGTATACATATGATATACACAACTACAGATGGTCGCTTCTTAAGCTGATTCTGGCAATTGTCAATTCAAAATGCTGTACTTCTGAGATTTAAAGAGTCCCAATGCATGAAATAAAATGGCTTCCTTCTCACTCCAATTACAAAACACTCTTCAAAATGCCCTTCATTGTTTTATAGAAATCACTTCTGTTTGTGAGTTTTATAAACAACGTATTAGATTATGGTCCAGGGTTGAGGACGAGACACATGTTCAACAAAAATTCAATAGAGAGAGACTAATTTTCCAATTGGATTTGGAAGCTGAAATTACAACATAAGGTAAAAGGAATGATCATCAAATACTTTTAGTAGAAATAATAATCAGATAGAACAAAGATGTAAGCAAGAAAGCATGGAAGATTACATACTGAAGTAATGCTGACAGGATCATGGTTTAAACTTGCACACATGTGGCACGAATTTCACACTTATCGATGTTTTGAATTACTGTAGAATACTTTATTTTCGCTTGGAATTTATTTTCGCTATTTTCGCTGAAGGGATAATTCCGTGAAAATAAAATCCAGCAAATATACTTTTTTTGCTATATTTCACATTAAACTCATCAAAAATCAGTGAAAATAAATTCCATACAAAACACCCAAAAAGCTTTTTCAGCGAAAATTAATTCCAACGAAAATAAAGTATTCCACAGTATGTGGATTCAAAAGACTAAGGAAGCCACACAGCTGACTGTACTTCACTTTTATTTGCATGCATAACATTCCAGGCTGAACATCTCAAAACAACTTTACTGTACATGGTTGTCATTTACCAGTAACAAAATTGGGGTGTTCAGGAAAAACTGTGACTAAAAATTTAGCAAATCTGGTTTTGTTTTTATTTATTGCAAAATCAAGATTCAACTATAATGAAATATTAGAATCAAAACAGTTTAGTGCAGCACAGAGAAATATTTTTTTGAGCTGATAATAACAAAAATTGTTCAATGTTTCAGAATGTTCATCACCCAAAATACAAGGAAGCTGTTTTTTTTCACACTATAAATCATTATGTAACGGAAGTAGATAAGTTAACTTTATTTTTTTATTTACTGATAACCTTGCCCCCAAGCAAAATAAAAATAAACTTTACAGGTTTGGGTTCAGAAAAACGTATCGGCTGCAGGATACATGAAATCCTATACAAGTAAAATTAATTTTGGTGCTTGATCCTCATGCAAAACATTATTGCGTGCTGTAATGCCTATGGCAGTACATGCTTCATTCTTGGGGTAACACTTTATAATATCACTGCTTCATACTGACAATCAGTAAATTATATTTACTGATGCAAGAAAAAAGTTTTATGCAAGTTGATTCCCTGCCTATGAGAACTAAAGGAAATTTTTAAAATGTATAAAAAAAATTCTTAAATTGTGAAAATTGTTTAAGTTTTTTGTTCTTCTTGCTTTAATAGTACAGTGTCGTTATCAAAGTTTGAACACAATTTTAGGTTTGAAATTATAAAATAATATAAGGAGAGAATTTTCCAAACTTTTAAAATCTTGGCAAGACTTGCAAAACTTGTTTTTCTTTTTTTGATGTTAATAGTACAGATCAGTTATAAGTATGAACGCAGTTAATGTAAAGCTTAAAATGAAGGAAAAGAAAGCAATTATCCAATAGAATGATTGTTATGAGTCAAATTACTGCTTCAGATTTTAAATAGGCAATAAATATGAAAAGTTCAAGGAGTATGCAAAAAGGGTCGACTTATATGCACGTGTTCAGGTTTGTCACCCAGGACGCCAGGTGTTGGACTCGCTGGCCAGGTAATTCATGTCAACCATAACAAAACACCAATTGTCACATCATGTACACGCAAGGTGAATCGTTCAGTCACACATGAAAGCATTCTGGCCACTATAAATAGATGCATACAAGACATCTTTAAGTGATACCGATTGTGAACAGGTATATTCACGTCATGAATATTCATATCCGCTCCCACAATTGAAAGGCTTCCCTCAAAAAAATATAGACCTCTGAAAGTTGACAGTGCATTCCTACACATCCTGTATATCTCCTTGTATACAAGTATAACAATAGAAATTAATTATGTGGTGTAATTAGGTGCAACAAATACTCATGACCTTGAGCCTTCACTTCAGACTGAGCTTTTTCTAAAACTTTACTAAATGGTGCAGCACTCTAAAAGACACATTCTTTTTCTACATGGACTCTAGTTTGCCGACACTTTGCAAGTGATGTCTGCCTCTAAACACGGTGGCACAATAATTTGTAAAACTTTGTATTCCTCCATTTTGCCTATTTTTAATAACAAAAGCAAAGATGCAAAACCAGCATGTCTACACAACCTTGCATGTCTTATGACAAGTGACGAACCTGACCTGTTCGGCATTATTTATAACGTAAATCTTCAACAGTTTTCACTACGATTGGTTCTATCCCCGAAAAACAACAACTTTTGTCTGTGACATTTTACACCAGGCTAAATATAAGTAGCACAGAAAGTACCAAGGTCGAAGGAATTAGAATTTTCAAGTAACTTGACACTTTCTTTTCTAAAGCCAGTACAAGAGTAATGGCGACTTTCTCAATTTCTAACTTTCTCGACATTACAGATAAGCTGTCCCGCTGCTCTCAGCGCCAAACAACATATTACATAGTGATCGATACTTTTGAGTCAAATTAGCCATGATTTTTACCCACTAATGGATGAAAAACTGCAATTCAGTTCCAATTCTCAGACTCATTAAATCCCAAACCAACGCGCATGTACAGACAATGGCACGATTATAATTTCCACCTCAACGCGCACAGAAAGCCCCTGCGTCAAAAACACTGGGGTCAAAATGGAAAATGGTCAGGAACTGTGCAAGCCTCCAACCACCTCACACACGCTATGGAGCGACTATCCTTATTTTGAAATGATATGCGAAAAGTAGCACGCAGCTGAAAGTAGCAAACTAAGTTTTGGAGAACAGAGTGCATGTTTGTTAGTCTAGCACAGCTGCATACTCGAAGTTTGCAACCTTCAACAAACTTTACTTTTCAAGGTGTGAGACCGTCGCTATTTGTTGTGATTCCCGGTAAAGACAGCTCAAATATAGCATTCCAGGTGATGCACCGATCACCTCAAACTTTTTAGTTGCATTGTGGAAGGTATAATCATCATACGCACCCAGAGAAGTTACGAAGTTATGCCTTACTTTAGTCCGCCAGTAGATGGAGCTGTAGTGCTTGTTGCTGGTCGTGCTGCCGATGTGGTCCGATTCAAAACGGGGTAAACAGCTTTTTCGTTCACTCAACAGTCAAAACAGCACTGTCCCAATCGCGTCAATACATAATATTTCGTTCCAGTCGACAGTAAAATCCCATTCCTTGCGTGATGTACGACGTCAGACGTTAAAATCCCTTTTGATTTCCAGATTAACACTTACGTACTCAAAATCAGTGCTACTCTGCTTCAGCTCTCCATGCATTACGGCGGCGTGATAAATTGTGTTCGTAGGTGGTCAATCTACTATTTGCGGGGGTGGTCGACTCTCGGGATCGTTGAACATGTTCGGGGTATTTTTGGAGTATCACACAACCTCGCCAAAAACGTAGCTAATATCATATATATACACGAGCTATTAACAACAGTGAAACCAATCCGACAAACTTTCTGATGGAGATATGATTATTGAAGATGAAGACCAGACACGCAGTGCGTCACCGGGTTACTTGTTTCCTGTGTACCTACCCTATGAATTATTCATAGGTCATTCAACTGAATAAAAAGCCACTTTCTGACGTCACCGAAAAATTAACAAAACACGGGCAGGCTAGCATTCCGATACGTCGAGAAAAATCGCAGACGACACGCGAAGGAAAATGCAGTATTAAACCAATCTGGTATCAAACTTTTTTTTAATAAAAACTTCGCTAGTCGAGATTTCCCGACAATTGTCGGCAGTCACTAATTAAACAAGTCTTTGCTATTAACCCAAAGGTTGTGAGAAAACACATTCGATCCTTCCGATTGTTTTTTTTCAAGGCATTTCTGTTATTTTCAAAGACTTTCTGGGAGTGAATCTTTTGTTTAAAGAGTAACAAAGTAACAACAGGTTAACAACAAGTTAGCAAAACGCGGCCACGCTATAGCGTATTATCAATGGACGTCAATGGCTCGTAAACAATCAATTTGCAAATCGGCTTCGATCTTCCGGAAAATTCGCGGGAAAACACAATACTCGTTTATGCCATGTTACGTAACCAAACACATTTTCCAGTTAGTCTGACACATTTGAATGCCTCTGCTTTTTCTGTCGGCAAAAGTTGCACCAACCCACGCCAAGCGCGTTACAGATAATGAAAAGTCCGATTTTTTTTTTAGGAATACGGAGTTTAATCTCGGGCAATCCAAGTTCTGATTATCTAAACCATTTTTATTTTCTGTCATGTAAATAATGAATAGTGTATATATTTTACTGCGAGACCGATTAAAAAAAATTTTTTTTTAAAGTCGTAATTCTAAGCACATAACTCTGGTAATAAATGTGTTCGTGTTTACCAATTCTCACATTATTCTACCCGGCTTATGAATGTAATTAATTTTTATGCACACAATCATTTCCGGCTTGCTTGGCAATCGCCAATCCATTGATTAAACATATGGCGAGAAAGGGTATATCTGGTCACTGGAAGGGGGTTTGCGGGGTCTAGTGTGCAAGAAAGATGTCAGTTGGAAGAACGCGCTCGGAAATTCATATAAAAACATTCAAAGTTTTTATAAATTGTTCTTAAACGGAGAAAATTGTAGGATAAACCTGACTTGACAAGTACACGTACTATAAAATGACTTTTTTTCACATGATATTTCTGTTACTTGCGTTAGCCACATTGGCGGTGAATATTTTGCGGTAAGTGCTGCTGCGACTGCCCCGAGGCTACCACGTTTTTGTCACAGCTCTTGGGGATTGTCTTACTCTAGAAGACATGATAGAAAACTAAATAATATTTTCTTTAGAGCAGAATAACAATCGAAAAACTTTGACAGTGTTTTCTGTAAGAAGGATACAAGTTTAAAAAATTTAATAATACATTTGTCTGCAATTTAAAAAAAAAAAACATGCACTAGTACATGTACATGGAGCAAAGGGACACTTTGGTTTAGGTTTAGATTTAAGTAAATATATACCGGTAAATAAACACACAGAAAATGATATGAGAAAAAAGTTAAAATGAGATACAGATTAATTATCGAGTGGATTGTTGACAATCTATTCTCGTTACTTTCATAAAGAATTTGACTATTTAGGGCATCCCAATTTCTGGATAGCAAGAAATGATGTCAAGGAGATCTCAAGGAGGGTCAATTGACAACAACATACTTGTTGTTTTTTTGTGGTATTGCGTATGGCTACTCAGTAAGGCAATCGCACAATATTGTGGGTTACTCATTACTCTTATTTAGAAGGACATTCAAGGATGATGATCTCCCCTCATCCATCCATCAATCAGCATTTATCGTCCAATCCCATAATTCGTCAATTCACTGATTATCCAAACTTTTTTTTTTTTTGAACTACTTCACAAGCCTCATTAATTCTTCATTTGTTTTTAATTTCACTATTTTTGTTGAAAAGTAAAATTTGCTATAAATAAATCACCATGAACATGTAGATTAACAATAGAATTCATCGTTTCCCTGCCAAGTCTGTGAACTTAAAACCTGGTAATATCGCTCAAAGCATTGAAATAATGCCAGTGTAAATAAATGGTTTCACCGTATTTTGTGATTGATCATCTGAACTACCAATTGTCACAACAAACTCTCTGCAGGCCAAGCAGTTTCAAGGTTCAGTTGTATGTTATACAATTGTTGTATGATGATACCCTTTCGTGGTGGTGTGCCCTTCCTTAGCGAATGTAGAAAGATGTCATAGTGACTAGAATACAAAGAAGCAAAAATCAAAATCATCTTGACAATTAACCTTTTCACCACCAGTTTTTCTTCATCACATATTCACAAAATAGTCCCGTTTATAGTCTGCATTTTCTTTCAGAAGATAGGGACAAAAATAGCCAAATTTTTAAAGTAAAAACTGAAAATTAACTCAAATTTTGTCTGTTGGTTCCAAAATTAGTGTTCATTTTCAGAAATATGAGAAAATATGAGAAAAAAGTGCAGAAAAATTTGGGTGAGAAGGCCTGGTGGTGAAAAGGTTAGGTTTAATTAATACTATCATACAAGACATGTAATTTCCATGCAGAAATAAAGATGGGGCTCTGTATTGGTAAAGATTAAAACTATCTCCTGAAGAAGATAAAAATGGTCATACATGACAAAACAACAATAAATGGATTTAACCATGGTTACTAGAAGAATGATTTAACAGCATTTGGGAGTTCATTCAAAGATTGTTTTTTAAATCCAATCTAACATAATACATGTTTCTATTTCAAAATTCACTAACTGGAAACCAGATGAAAGAATCTGGCTGGTCTTCTGAAGTAGGAGAGTGTGTGCGGCAGCTAAACTTGTTATTACTTTTGATGTTTTCAAAAGAGAAAGTCATTGACCAACCAGTGGGTGGCTGATATATCATACTTTAAGACTTTCCGACTTTGTGATGCTCGATAAAATATGACATGTTAAGAGTTATTATAAGACAAGGTATGCAAGAGATACATGGCTATCCTGCTGTTTAGCATGGTTTGGATAAATTCACACTCAGGGGCCAGCAAACAGATGGTATGCAGTAGCTGTGATGTCTCTCCATCCTCTCTCTGCCAAGTGCCCACAGCTGGATATTTATATACAGGAAAGATTGTGTGTACATACAGCAACCAGTTTGCTAAAGATTCATGTGCGATTTCTTTACAAGATTGATTCCTTCCTCCTATTTCTAGCAGATGATGTTGATGGCTGAAGATGAAAACGTGAAAGCCATCTGTTGGGATGGTAAATCACTCAAGGGATAAAATTATTTAGTAAGGTCACCATGGCAAATGTAGGGTCAAGGGGCACATTTTTAACGCAGTCGTAGAAAAGGAAACTTATACTATTACATAACGTAGAACGGAGCTCTTATTTTGATATCCCCCACAAGCTCATTTCAATTTGGGATTGCAGTGACGTCTTCAATTTATGACTTAGAGGAAGTAACACTAAAAAAAAAAATCAGGAACATCATTGATGATTATTATCAGATGGAATGCAGAAGGGCATGACACGCACCATCCTAACTAGCCAGTAAGCAACTGGAAGACAAGCTTCCTATATCTTTCACAGCATGTGACTGTTATCTCTTTATGTGCATCCTACATACACAACTTATTTACAACATTTCATGTTACACGGTACATGATATATCACAAGCCTTTGCTCATGTTTAGTTGGATATCTATAGTCAAATGAAACTGATGCGCCTGTGAAACACAATGTTAACAGCAGTGATATCTCCATGGGGTGCGTTCTACGAGAAGACCATTCGTTTTTACTATACGCATTATTTTTTCATAGTATTCGCAGAGTTAAAATTACAAGCTACATGTAGGGAACGTTGATGCTCCATTAATTTATTTTTCCAGTTCTTTTAACTTGACATTGTCCTATATTTGCTTGCCTGTGGTAGAGATAATTAGACCTCCTGGCAGAGTATATGGTATATCTAATACCGTTATCATGCAGAGATGCATAGCTGACTTGGTGGGCTGTCACTGTTTTTCTGTGAAATAACTAGCTAAGTGCTTTTTCAGGGTATCTGAAACAAGTTTGACTGTGTTAGATGCAGGGGAAAAAAGCATTTAATACTCAAACTCAGGAAAGATCAGAAGAACTGCTGTAAAAGGATTGTTAGAAAGTTACTTAGTTTATTTTAATTTTGGGAAAGAGCAATTTCTTAAATTAAAAGTTCAGAGACAATAAAGAACTAAAGCTAAATGTTTAATTTAATTTGAGGGAACTCTTGATAATATCACTGTCATAGCGATAAGTATCAGATGGTACAGGTTGCAAATTGATGTTACAAGATTGTTTCTGATTGGCTGCCCAACCCTAACACCTAACAGTCAGACCAATCAGGGAGCAGCTTATTTGCTGGCAGATTTTTTCAACATATCAAATTTTGCCTTGTGATAAATGCTTTGACTCACTTGCAGGTTGTTGCTGTTCATGACATTATTTTGAGATACATCCTAAGCACAGAGAACTCACTGGGAATAAACATGATTTGAGCAGTGTGGTATTTGGTACATCCATAGGGGGAACCAAGCACAGGCCACTGGGTTAATTATATTTTTCCTAATTAAGATTATTTTTGGATTGTTTCCGATTCGCACAGTGAGACTGCATGGTCTCTTTTTTTTCTCCAGCTAACACTGTGATTGAACCCAAGAACACAACAGTATGTACACAACACTGATAAAGATTCAACCTGCTTTTACCAGTTTGGTTGGTTGCAGTTGGATTCATCACAGACCTTTAGATTCTATGGGTTGAGGTACCACACGTGTCGTCAATTCTAAACAAACACTCATGGGTAGAGAAAACTCCCAGCTCCATGTTATACCATTTTTTATATACTGACTGAAATAGCATTCATGTTCACTTGGATTTCATTTTGCTGGTTTGATGTTTTGAGCATACTTATTGTCTTAAATTCGTTATTTATATTTATATTATTCTTTTACATGCT